TATTCGTACATTAAAAACATTAATTAATTTTGTAATCGGATGAAGATCTTTTCACTTCCCGCAGTTAACGGTGTACTTGTATTTTGTCAAGTATCTCGAGATATACAGTAGTTGTATCAAACCACATATGGTAGCAGTATTCAAGGATGCCAAGGACGCCTTCTAAAAGCAGGGTTGTGTATTGCGAGGCAGGCAGGATTTCTTTGGCAACAAAGAAACGTGTGCTGTGTTGCTACATGACATTCGTCCTTTTTTTATGGCAGTGAATGTTGGACGGTCTCCTCAAAAATGAAGAAGAGACTCGAGGCAACGGAGATATGGATCTACAGAAGGATGCTAAGGATATCATGGACCGAACGCCTGAGAAACGGTGAGGTTTTGGAGAGGATGCAAACAAGAAGGGAGCTTATACTTAACATGAGAAAGATGGAGATGAAATTTCTGGGAGACGTTTTGAGAAAGAAGGGCTTGGTGAATCTGATACACACAGGGCGGATAGAGGGAAAGAAAGACACGGGAAAGCAACGCATGACAGACCTGGCGGGCTTAAGCAAGTGGCTGACAGAACATGACCTGGGGGAGTTGGCAGAGGGACGGAACTTACTGAGAGCTACAAGGGATAGGGCGAAGTGGAGAGCCATGATCGCCGTCATATATGAATAACGTGTCGATGCCGAAACCTAGGTTTGAAAACGGATCATCAGAGAGCAAGCACAGTCGACCTCGTCTTGAAATAATTAGATCACGTGACGGGTAAAGTGAATATATATATATATATATATATATATATATATATACACACACGCTCTATCTCAGATATTGAACACTTTATCCCATAAATATAGCACACCTTTAGAGTATATTTTCTTCATATATATATATATATATATATATATATATATATATATATATATATATATATATATATATATATACCGCAGTTGAATAAGTGATCGTACACATGAAAATATTTCATATTTTTATTTGTAACATATTAAATGAACAAAATGGGAATATATCTATTGTATCATATTGCATACTAAAAATGTATGCATATAAAACTAAATAATATTCTCTGGTTAAGAAAATATAGCAATATTTAAATTTTTAGGGCTTTAAAAAATGATCGTCCAGCAGAATGTTTTCTCCATTTAATATTTTGTAGCAATGCCTTTATTAAGTTCAACAGCAACCAATTTCTTCCTCTAATCTTTAATTAACAATTCGAATACTTTAGTAGGTATTTTGTCTTATTCTTCCTGAGTAATTGTCTTCGGGTTTTTGAGGTTTGTTGGACCTCTATCACAGATTTTATTTTTCAAAAACCGCCATAAATTCTCTATTGGATTCAAATCAGGCGACTGACTGGGCCATTGTAAGATGTTAACGTTGTTATTAGCAAGCCAATTCTTCTTATTCTTAGCAGTATGCTTGGGATCATTGTCCTGCTGGAAGATCCATCAGGAGGGAGCCCAAGATTCTCTACAGAAAGCGATAAATTTTCGCTTAGGATTTGTTGATATTTTTCTGCATTCATTCTACCATCTATAATTGCTAGTTTGCCAACACCTCGCATCGAAAAAGCAGACCGAAATCATGATACTACCCCCACCAAAATTGACAGTTGGTATGGTTTTCTTGGGTGCGTATGATTCGCCGTCTTTCCTCCATACATGATTCAGAGAATTGCGACCGAACATCTCAATTTTACTCTCATCTGTCCAAAGAATTCTTTCCCAATAAGAATTTTCCTTTTTATGCACTGTCGCAAATTTCAACCTGGCATCTCTATGCCGTTTCAGAAGGAGTGGTGTCTTTCTTGGGGAGCGCGACTTTATACCGTCTCTGCATAGTTCATTAATCGATTGCTTTGTTACGTTAACTCCTGACAAACTGAAGATCTTGTCTGATGGCCATTGGTTTATTTTGGACGTGTCAACTTTCTTCGTAATCTAGGAGAGCAGGGGTCAGCGTTTGTTCTCAACAGTAATACGTTTTTTAAATCTTGCAATAAATGAACCAATTGTTAAAAAAGTTATGTTCGTGTTACTGGAGATGTTTCTGTTACTTTTTCCATTGTTGCATAGCTTAATAATTAGCTCTTTCTTGCTGGGTGAAATGGCCATACAGATAGGGTATCTTTGAGTTTAATTTATATGTGGTTTATTTACATATGCTCTTTAATAAAGACATTGAGCTCTGTTTGTGAATCAGTTTTAATAATTTTTATTATTAGGATTCACTTGGATTACTTACCCACGGATTTTACCTGTATGCACACACACACACGCACACACACGGACACACACAGATATATATGATATATATATATATATATATATATATATATATATATATATATATATATATATATATATATAATCATAGATAACTAGACTAGTTTCAAAAAACCCTCGAATTTTTGATTTGCTAATAATCAAATCAATCTCGAGGGAAAAAAGATTTTTAAAAAAGAAAGAGCTACAAACATGAACTTCTGTCGACAAAAAAATCGCACAGATACAGATCTGAAGCCTAAAGAAAAAACCCCGATACGAGTAAACAACTAACTAAAAAAAGAGCTCAATACAACCGTAGAGCAGACCTAGATAAACCTAGTGAGCCAGACAAACCTAACCAGGTTTCACCTAAACGGATCGTCAGGGAAAGTAAGCCTTAGTTTCCCTGACGATCCACTTAGGTGAAACCTAGGTAGGTTTGTCTGGCTCACTAGGTGTATCTATCTATCTATCTATCTATCTATCTATATATATATATATATATATGTGTGTGTATAGTACGGCTAATATATCCATTGGTACATAATTTAAGTGGATCCTAATAATATAAAATATTAAAACTGATCCACGAAAAGAGCCAAATATATTTATTATAACATAGCATATAAATTACTCAACAAAATAGAAAATTAACCCAATAAATTACACTAGAAAATTGAAAATGAACCCCTATTTCAACCATCAAGAAGTACGTTAGTCTTATTCAACCCCGGTGTAGAGGTTGAGTTCTTGTCGGAATTAGAAATTTAAAATTTAACTTTGATAGCGTCTTGCGTGTAAAAGTAGTATTTTGCGGTATATATATATATATATATATATATATATATATATATATATATATATATATATCCAGGTACGATGAGAACGAAAATGTACATTTCAACGTTCGTAACATTTAAGTAAAAGATGCTTCTAGATGTAGTAAAGCATTATTATTTATTTTAGGATATTCAACAAAATATTTAAGAATCGCTACACAATTGCAGTCGTTTTTCAATATATATGAATGCATCTCCTCATGCGATTGGAGATTACTCGCCCGTAATCTACAATCACCTGAGGAGATGTATTGTTATGTGTAGAAACAAGGCTGCAATTTTGTAATGACTCTTCCATGATTTTGTAATACCCCAATATATATAATAAAACCCTCCGTATTCAACATTATCACTTGATAAGACACCGGAGGTGTTGAAACAAAATGGCTATTTTTGTAGTGATTTTATAACATATTTATTAAATAAATAATTATATCTGCTCTACTTTGTATTGAGCACTCTTTTAAGAATAATAATTGTTGGTTATTGGAATTCATTCCGTATACACCAATTATATACTTGGATATATATATATATATATATATATATATATATATATATATATATATATATATATATATATATATACACATATATATATATATATTTCATTGCATAAGACGCACTTTTTTCTTCAAAATTTGATATCATAATCTACTTGCGCTCTATACACCGAAATTATCAGTTTATGCACATAAGAACATAAAGGAAAAAGCTGATAAGACAACTGGTTGTTGTAACAAGTGAACAGCAACAAATCAAAAACCTCCTTAATGATTTAATGAGAGATGAATAGAAGAACTGAATAAAGGGAGAAGATTTTTGCTTTGATCCATATTGGTGTGCATGTGGGTAAAGTAACTGTAAACGAAATAAATGATATTTTGATTAAATCATTGAAAGAAAAAGTGCGATCAGTAACGCAATTGTTGGCAGCTGTGTCCGTGGCACCATAAACTATGGACCGAGATCCGTTCGTACGTCTGAACACGAAGAAAACATTCTACAGGTTGTCGAGGACGATCCAGGTATCAGCACACGTCAAGTGGCCGTAGCATGTCGTACATCTCATAGTACCCAATGGAGGGTACTTCAAATGCAGTTTCTATACCCGTAACATTTCCAACCTTTCATGATCTGATCACTCACCACGGGAGAACTTTTACCTATGATTTATTGCACAAACTGCCGATCCTTTGTTTGTCTATTCGATCTTGTTTACAGATGAGACAACACCTGGAAGAGATGAAATAAAAAAATTTACACAACTCTAGGTGGATCGGAATCTCCATGGTGCAATGCCGGTTAGACACCAGCATCAATTTACGATTAATGTGTGGGCTGGAATTGTAGGTAACTGTCTGGTAGGTCCATATGTTCTCCAAACACGTCTTACAGGAGCTGTCTCCAGGGACTTTATTTCGAACGCATTTCCAGACCTGCTAGAGGATGTACTCCTGCTAATACGAAGACGCATGTAGTTCATGTGTGGTGAGGCACCTGCACATTTTTGTCACTTTGTTCGCGGTGCACTGCCTGACAGCTACCATAAAAGATGGATAGGCAGGGGAGGTACGATTTCATGGCCTTTACGTTCACCGACCTCACTCATTTGGATTTTTATCTGTGGGATAACCTAAAACAATTGGTTTATGCAGCAGACATTAATAATGCAGAGACGCTTCATCAATGTGTCAGCGAAACCATTCGACACCGTATGTGAATATTTGAAAGTGTCCGCCAGTCAATGATCTGACGGGTGCATGCGTGTGTAGAAGCAAGTAGAGGACATTTTGAACATTTGTAATAAGCTGGTATGTTGAGGTTCAACGATGGCCTTTTAGACATCTGTTTATATGGACTTTTTACCTTGTTTTGGTGTGAGGAAGCCGCCCGCAAAAGTTTGTGAATGTTCTTTTAGTACACCCTGTATATTTGAACCCCTAGACCTTGTACAAAAGCACACAGACACACACATATATATATGCCTGTATACTCCATATAATTTAGTCGTACACAGTAAGGTTTGTATTGATTGAAACAACAGATTTACACTTCGCTGGAAGTTTTTTATGAGCTAAGTACAAGACTGACGGTACCTTGTCTGTAAACAGGGAAAACACAAATATTGGAAAAGAGCCAACGAATTAAAAGTCATAGAACCTACAGTTTTACAATTTCCCTTAATACTTTGTCGATAATACAAAGCGTATATTGTTCTCCTCGGCACATCTTATTGACCTTTCGAAACGTCTGGATAAGACACAAGAAAACTGACATTAGAAAGAGATAGGTTTGTTCTTTGTAGGGTTTCGAATCTAATTAATTTCCTCAAGAATATGTTGACTCCTGATAGTATCGCTATATACTGAATAAAACCGAATATTCTATCATCAACAGGCCTAAGGTTCTGCTATGCTCCCTTTTAGAACCATGTAAGAGTCATTTGTCTCATCCACGCACACACACACAAGTTTTATGCCTCTAGCCTGTTGTCAGATTCTCGACATACGTCTGATCATGATCCTTCATAACTTCCTATTCTTTGTAGCTCTTAGACACTACCCTACCTCCGCGTTAACCCATTCATTTCAATAAGCTTGCCAGGAAGGTTAATTTTTGTTTTATCCTGCTCATTTTGCTTTCAATATGTCCTCCACAGCTTCCTTGAAAAACGTTCAACTGAAAGTCATTAACTAGTGATTACGTCTATGGTCCCGCAGGCAATCCTTCTCTCTCTCTCTCTCTATATATATATATATATATATATATATATATATATATATACATATATATATATATATATGACATGAAGGTTCCGTTCACGCATCAAACACTGTTGTCACCTGGTGCTGTCTTCAATGTTCACTTTTATACGCTCTGTCTTTGATATTGAGTACTTTTACTCATCAATATAGTATAGCATAGAACTCTATTTTTATTACACACACACACACACACATATATATATATATTAAGACGTTTTTATGTTTATACATTCTTTTTAAAAATAATTGTTGAACTTTGTCTATTTCATAATGTATGACGTCATTTGTTTACATTTGGATACGCATCGAGCAGATATGAATGTATGTGAGAAAATCATTGAAAATTGTCGTTTAAAAACAGTAAAATCGACCTTGCTAACCTGACGCTCCTCTGTAGCGAAATCGGTAAAAACACGTCAGGCTAAATGACGGTTCCGTATAGGATACAGGTTCGATTCCTGGCGGAGGACGCATATTTTCTATGACAATTTCTCGGACATTTAGGCCGGTAAATGTTTATTATAAACAGAGCATTTACTTAATTATTTGTATCTATAAAAAAGAATGGATAAAATATAAAAATGTCTTAAAATAATTGTCGGACTGTGTCCATTTTATATATATATATATATATATATATATGGCGAGAGAGAAAGAGTCAATTTGAAAAAAAAATTCCGACGCTCTGGAGGACGAGGCCGATTTTGATTGCGCAAACGTACTTTAGCTGAGCGGTCTATAGCACGCAAAGATTGTTTTTTCCTCTTCCTAGACGCAGGTTTGAACCCTGCCAGAAGTAACATTTTCCTTATTAAAAATACAATGGCCAGTAAATTTAAACTTTATAAAAGATGGCGACGTCTTCCCAAATATATATCCTCACTAAATATAACATCTGAAAAATATATAAATAAATTCCACTTTAAATACTTAAATATTATAAATAATAAATTCCTCTTGCAAAAATCGAGGAGTCACAGAGATCCAATCACCTGAAGAAGACCAGAGCGTACAACGGCCGAAACGTTGTGAATATAGCAATGAAGATGTGAATAACATCCCAAATAATATAAATAATGTAAGGAAGACTGATATTAAATAACAGTCCAGCCCCTCTTTAATTTTTGTTGTTAATACTGTTGCGATATTCAAATAAACCTTCGGATTTCGTTGTCACTGAACCTTCTTTCTCATTTGAAAAACAAGAAAGCATTGTTCAATCTCGGAAGCAGATACGAAGACAATTACTTTTAATTCGAGTAAATTAAGTAGACTAAGACTTTTCAAAGAATTTAATAAATATTATTTATTTTTTATAAAAATAATCATATGTATATGCATTTATTATATCATCACGTGAATAAATATATTATATAGAGTTTTGCGTGTTTTTGGATGTATGGAAATTGCATTGCCTTGCATATGTGTTCACTACATTGCCTTGTGTATGTTGCTTTGTGCTTATTTTTATTTCTTCTTACTTTGAATTGTTTATATAGTCTTGTCTAGGCTATGTATCTATTAGTTTTAAACACCGATGTTAGATCGACATTTGTATTCTGTTGCTTTTCAATTTTACGTTTTTTTTTTGCTACTGACTTGTCTTCGCGTTGATTAATGGGGTGATTTTTTTTTTTATTGTAGATGGCAATTCTGTAAACAAGTGTTAATGACTGCATAATCCTTTCGATAAAAGGGATAGGAAGTTGACAGGCTTGTTTAGAGTTTTTAGAAGCATTTTATTTTTTTAACTATGAAGATCAAATATTGTTAAGGAAATTTTTAGTCATTCCCAATCAACGACTGCACGTTTTTTTCTTTACGTTCCATTTTCGGCCATAAATCTTCACTTGAAGGAGGCCTTCATTAATTTTGCAAAGAGTCCATTTATCAAAACGCAGAACGTGGTTTAGCCTTCTGAGTTCAGTCTTTACCGGTTGTACAACATTTCTTTCATTTGATTCTGGACCCTTCTTCAGATATATAATTCATAAAGCAAGGGAGAGACCATTTCTACATGAAAGGGTAGCAACAAAAATGTATGCAAATATCAATCCGATAACCCATTCTAAGGTCGTCGGGAGACCACATGTACTGCGGCATCATCAATAATCTTAATGGCAATGGCCGTTTCCTTATAAGGAAACATTCGGTATTCAGTGACCGAGCAGCCAGCGCTACTGTCGGGTAAAATGTATAAAATCTCTGTCAAAAGAATTTTCCCGGAAAATAGATTTCTCACTAACTGCTATCGTTCTTTCCAGTATTGATGGAGGTTTCCTTCCTAACCTTTTATTTCAAGTTGTGTGAAACATCAACAATTTGATTATGTCATTATTTTCTCTTCGAGTTACATGTGCTATCCATTTCAGTTGTTGCTGCTGTTGAAAGTCCTTAAGTGATGCAATTTCTGATATTTGTTAGTGTTATGGCTCTTTCTACTATTCATGGGGGTTTCCTTCCTAACCTTTTATTTGAAGTAGTGTGGAACGTCAACATTTTGATTAGGTCATTATTTTCTCTTCAAGTTACATGTGCTATCCATTTCATTTGTTGCTGCTGTTGAAAGTCCTTAAGTGATGTAGTTTCTGTTATTTATTAGTATTAAGACACTTTCTAGTATTCATGGGAGTTTCCTTCCTAACCTTTTATTTCAAGTAGTGCGGAACGTCAATATCTTGTCATTATTCTCCCTTTAATTTATATGTGCTATCCATGTTGCTGTTATTGTAAGTTCTCAAGTGATGTAATTTCTGTTATTTAGTACAGTTCTTTGTTTGTGGGTCTGTAGTGCCAGTCCAAGCGATTCGAAGAAGGAATGTCTTCGCTAAGGCATACATGCTTGATGTATCGGTTATTAGCTACATTTTGGTAGGGGTAGGGGTGTATTTTTCAATGAAATCTGACATCCGTTAAATGCATGGATTTTAAAAAAAAAAAAATTATTGTTAACGGCAAAAATTCTTACGGAATTTTTTTCTCTTTGTATATTTAAAGATTTTTTTGGGTGAGGTGTTTCGGTTAGAATACATATTATTTAACTACAATTTGAAAAATATTTTCACTTTTAATTTTTAATATGCTATATTTCTTTTAAGAACAAGTAAATGTATTAGAATCACAGTATGTAGAATTATTTTCACATCAAGTAAGTATAAGTATGCATATTACTAGGTCATATATATATATATATATATATATATATATATATATATATATATATATATATATTTTGACAGCATGTTTTCATACCAGTACATCCGTACAAAATCTTACTAACAATACTATGAAGATAGTGATGTAAAGAAAAGAAATAGAGTTCCTCTTTCTATTTCTTTTCTTTAGATGACTGTCTTCATATTTTATCAAGTGGATTTCAGCGCTGAAATTTAGTGCGCTGAAATCTAGTTTAGAAAATGTATTGCATTAATCTTCTAGTATTGTTAGTAAGATTTTGTACGGATGTATTGGTATTTAGATGACATTTTGCATTGATTGGTTATTGTTATTAACACTCCATATAAAGAACCGTTAGTCAACAGTTGTATATTAAATTACTAAGCAGAGCCTATATGTTTAAATTAGTCATTAGTTTCTTAAAGATGTTGTTTATTTATCAACTATCAAAAAAGTTGGGGCCTTTTTTTGTTGAAACTCACAGGACATGTATCTTGTCTAGGTTTTTGTTAGATTGCCATTTTTTTTTCCTAGGAAATAATATTGTCTGGTGTACAATACTGTAGCTATTTACATCCACCCGGGTTTAGCGTCTGATTGCTGTCTTTGATTCTAAATCTACGGCTTATGACCCATCTAAGAAAGGCAGCTTCTTAATTTTTGCTTCTTTCCTTACTTTAAAAATTAGCGTATGTCATTTTGATTAGCTGATCTGAGTAAAGGCTACAGACCCTATAATCACCTCATTTCTTTTTCTTTCTTTCTTTCTTTCTTTCTTTCTTTCTTTCTTTCTTTCTTTCTTAAAAAGAGGTTGCATTTTTTTAAAATTCCAATAAATCGTTCAGTTATCAGTCATTTACAATCGCCTGATGGGATGCATTGATACGCACCGAAAGACGACTGCAATTGTGTAGCGATTTTGACATGTTTTCCATGTAATATCCTAAAATAAATAATATTGCTCTACTTTGTATTGAGCCCTCTCTTGAATTAAATGTTACGAACGTTGGAATTGTATTCTATTCGTTCTCGTCTTATCTGGATATATATATATATATATGTGTGTGTGTGTGTGTGTGTGTGTGTGTGTGTGTGTGTGTGTGTTCGTGCGAATTCAGGCAGCAAATTCTCTTTTAGGCATGTCTGATTGAATAAATTACAGACACTATGTCTGCTAATTTTTAACAAAATCCGTTCATACTCACGAATAATCTTCCGTGTATTGATGTTAAAGGATGAGAGAAATGTGCTCATAACAGCTTAAATTTCTTTTATTTTCATTTCCCAAGTACTTTCGATCTTCTTCCAAGATCATCTTCAGGGGTCCATGACATTATAATATGGAGAAAAAAATTCCATAATGGATAATTTTTTCACGTTCTAATATACGCTCAGCACGTTGTCAACCATTTTGCACTTAAAAGTATAATGCAAAATTACGGTAATGTATAACAACGCACAACTTTGAATAAACAATTGTAATAATGAACAACATATAGTTTTGTACTACTTGCAACTGTTTGATTGGCTAAAAACTAGCATGTGAGAGATTTCAGTGTGTCAGTTCTTACATGTCTAACAATGTAGATGTGTGAAATTCGTGTCTGGGAACTTGTTTCCCAGTGGAGGTGAGAGAGCAGCCCCATTGGCTAGTTAGAAAATGTACACGTCGAGGTATATACTTCTCATTTTGAACAGGATCATATTGCTTTTCAAACTGCCGCCCAAATTAACAGAGTATGATTATGAATACACTTGTGATCGGACCGTACAGCGCTGTTTTTTGAAGTTCAGCAGAGCGGATACGAGTTTGGAAGACAAAGATGGCAGAGGACGTCCAGCTACAATTGTCATCGTTCAGCATCTGAAAACACTGGTAGAACAGATCTACGTCAAAGGGTCAGAGAAATGCCCCACGTAATGGAAGTCAGCATTTCAACGATATCGAAATAGCCGAAAGGAAAAAAGAAAACAAAAAATCGATATATAGAACTCAGTGAAAAATCAAAGAGTTTGACGTTTTTAAGTGCGTTCGATCCGGTATCGAAAATCGAATGACCAATTGCTGGACTGAATAGTGATTTTAAATGAAAAATGGATCCTTTATGACGATTATAAATGGACGGCTCAATGATTTGGTCATGACGAAAGACCCAAACCCTTTCGAAGACGTCACCACATTCACCATATTCCCATGATCCCTCGACGACTGACTACCAGTTTTTTTCGAACATCTTGACAATTTTTATGCGAAAAGAACTTCCGTTGCAAATAAGACACAGAAACAGCTTTCAAAGTTTTCCTGGCGTCTAAACCCCAAGTGTACATAATCTCTTGGCTCAATGGCAGAAAATGTATAGATGTTCAAGGTTGATTCAAACACATTTTAAATACATTAATTCAGGAATAAAATTTAATTCTAAAATCGGACATTATTTTGCGAACAACCTAATAATTCCTGTTTAATGGAATGTGAGATGAGATTTATTTTTTCTGAACGAAATCTGAACCTATTTTATCAACCTGATACAGTTGATACCATTCTGTTTTACCTGCTTTTGATATCATTCTGTTTTACCTGCTTTTGATACCATTCTGTTTTACCTGCTTTTGATACCATTTGGAGGGTAGACTGGCATTAATAGTCAGTAATAATCAATTACCTGACAAGATACGGCAAGGAATCGATACAGTTGTAATTCATACGTACCAGGATTGATTAAAATGGTCACTAGTCGATTCCGAACATTCGTATAGTATGATGACAAGGTGTAATTTGGTCGTTGGACAGACTGGGGTTTAGCATACTGGTCTTCTTCGTAAATTGAAAGGTTGTGGAATTTCTGCACGAATTTTTTGATCTGATTCAACCTGTCTTATGAAATCGCGAAATGAATGTTGTCTTCAATGGTCCGAAAACTTTTTGCATTACTGCAGGCATCTCTTGAGGCGCTGACTTTTGACCTGCACTACAGTTCGAAAGTCTGAAACCATCCCCAGAATTAACATGGGATCAGCTTAACAGAAGAGTGAAAAAAAATGTAAAAAGAGCTGTTATCATTGAAATAAAGAATGGAATCAGGTATCAACCGTTTACTCTGAGAAACTTTTGCAACGAATGCCAACAATTTGTGTTGCAGTGATCAAGGCTAAAGGAGGATATTTTGACGACAGCAAAATTTCATCAAAAAAAGTTTTTTTTTCTTTTTGTCATAATAAGATCATACTTATTATAAAACACCGGTTGTGTGGGTGTGTCTGTTCGTTTATATATTGGATCGGATTTCCTACATCTTTCAACCGATTTCAACTAAACTTCAAAGGACTACGTAAAATTACTTTGCGGTGGTTCTGACAGCGCCAAAAATTGGGAAAACACAATTGTTTTTGCACGAAATCAATTTGAAAACACGATTAAGAGGCATCGCTGTCGCGAG